TGACTTTTGGAAGAGAGCTACTCTACTGAACATAACTGTCTTCAGAGTTCCCTGTCTACTGCAAGGAAGGAGCAATATAGCCTCCTCCATTAAAACATCTAAAAGCAAGCACTGAGGGCTTCTGATTCAAGATGTAAAAAATGTGTACTCATTTATGGAATCCCCTATCCTGGAACTCAGCTGAATTTCAGGACTCAGAGAAACATGAGAAGGAATAAGCTTATAGCAACAAAGAGTTTGGAAAGAGAGATAATTAGGGAATATAAATTTCAAGAAATTCCCAGAAGAGGATGAATTAAACTGTGTTGCTAAGTGTGTTAGTCAGATTTACCATTGCTGCTGCAAAATATCCAACACCCACACCTCCAAAGAGGGAAGATTTATTTGGCTCATAGTTTCCATTAGGTACAGTCCATGGTTGCTTGGTTCCAGGACAGGGATATCATGGTAGAAAGGCATGGTGAAGAAGATCTGGTTATCTCATGGCAGTCAGGAAGCAGAGAGAGTGAAAAGAGGAGCCAGGGACAAGAATGCACCTTTCCAGGGTACAATCTTAGTGACCCACTTCTGAGCACGTCCCCCCTCCTAAGTGCACATTTAGCTATCAACTCATCAGTAGGTCAATCTAATATTAGTATAGTGCCCCTATGAGCCAATCACCCTCTAAAAGCCTATTTCTGAATATATCACACTTTTGAAGGACATTTTAAATCCAAAGTATAATAATAAGTAGTCAGAGAAGGGAAGCTACAGGCCTACAGAGGAATTGGGGAGCTAATCTTGCTTGCAGATTTTAAAAGGTCTGGACTCTGGAACTATAGGTAAATAAAAGGATAATAATAAGGAGCTAGAAAGAGAAAGACTGATAAAAGCTACAGAAATCAGCCCCATACTCCTTTCTCTGTCGCCTCCACTTGTAGAACAACTAGAAACTAGTATTTGCACCTAGACTAAAGCATAAACAAATAAAAGTCCAAAACAAAAGTAGATTCTTCTCTATGAAAAGAGAAATTATTAGAGAGCAAAGATTTCTAGGTAGGTAAGCTTCCTTGAATTGAAACTTTTTTTTCTTTTGAAATGTGGGCAGATTGTTCCTGGTTGATCACACAGTCTGCAATCAACCTTTCTGTTCAGGGAAGAGGTCTGTTGGGAGAAGTAACCATGTAGTTTCTATAAAGTAGGAAAAATAAACCATACCATCTGCTCCTCATTTCTGTGTAGGCAAAGCAATACGTGGGAAAGAATAGCAGTACGAAAAAGAAGGACCAAAATAAATATAACAAGTATCAAAGGACGTGAAAGACTTCTATAATAAAAAAACTATAGGACTCCAGAAAAGGAAACCAGCAAGAACACCAGTGTGAAATGAAATCCTCTCTTCCTGAATAGGCAGAACTACTACTGTTGTAATGGTCATACTTCCGAAACCAATATATAGATTTAATGCAATCTCAATCAAAATACCAGTAGTGCTCCTCACAGAATCAAAAACAAAATATAAAATTCATATGGAACTGCAAGAGACCCAAAATAACCAATGCAATTCTGGGCAACAAGACCAAGGCAGGAGGCTTCACAATCCTAAACTTCAAGTCATATTATAAACAACAGTGATAACAACAGCATGGTACTGTAAAAAGCAAACATGTGAATCAGTGGAGCAGAATAGAGGACACAGAAACAACCTCAGCCACATTCAGTCGTCTGATCCTTGACAAAAGGGCCAAAAATATGCTCTGGAGAAAAGATAGCCTCTTTTACAAATGATATTAGGACAATTGGCTATGCACATGCAGAAGACTGACTCTAAACCCATAAATCTCACCATAAACTAAAATAAAATCAAGATGGATCAAACACCTAAATATTAAAACATAAATTGTTAATCCTTAGACATATGGAAGACAGGCATAAGCAAGTACTTTCTGAACAGAACCTGAATTGCACAAGAAATAAGATTCAACAAATGGGATTATATGAAATTAAAAACTTTTGCACAGCAAAAGACACAACCAATAGAATGAACACAATCTTATACTATGGGAAAAATTTGCCAGTTATTCCTCAGACAGAGGACTAGTACTTAGAATATACAAAGACCTCAAAATATTACAATATTCAAAATAAAAGACTCAATTAAAAAATAAGCAACTGATATCAGCAGGTGCTTCACAGGAGAAGTAGCATAAATGGCCATAAATACTGATGCTGAGCATGAAAAATGTTCAGTATCACTGGCCATTAATGAAGTGCAAATTAAAATAACACTGAGATTCCATCTTACTGCAGGAAGAATGACCACCTTCAAGAAATCATATAATAACAAATGCTGGCAAGGCAATTGTGAGAAGAGAAACAAGTACAACCATTATGGAAATCAGCATGGAGAGTTCCACAAAACTAGAAACTGCATTGGACCTGGCTATGCCTTTTCTAGGTGGCATTCAGAAAGGGTTAAAGATATCATGTTACAAAGATACATACACACCTATGTTTATCACAGTACAATTCATAATAGCTAAATCTCAAAAATAGCCTATATGTTCATCAGTGGATTAATAAGTAAGGAATATAGTAGTTATGCACAGTGGAGTACTAACTACTCAGGTGTAAGGAAAAGTTTGAGTTATTTGTAAGAAATTGGATGCACTTTGAGATGATGATAAATGAAATAAAATACATATAAGTTTAAATATTGCATGATTTCACTTATGTGAGAAACTGAAATTATAAGTAAAGACAAAATAAAAGATAGATAGTAGGAAACAGAGTTTTTACCAACAGGAATGGGACCAAGAGATGGAAGGAGAGAGGGAGAAGAAGGGAAGGAGACATAAAAATAATTACAATATGTCAGGTACATATACCACCTTCCCATGGTGAATGTAATCACTATGTACTACAAAATGTACAATAAAAAGTTTAAAAGAATCAAAAGACACAAAACATGGCTGCTTATTAACAATAAGCATCTGTCTTTACAGACACACATGTGTCAGTAGGTGGATACACTACTGTTGGTAACCACTGTGTTTTGCTGCTCAAATTGCACAAGCTAATGTAACATCTGCTTTCAGATTCTGTTGATTCTGCGGGGGGTGCTGGGGCTGGAGTTGGCACTGCACCCTTCTCTCCACAGCCTTCTGTGGTCATCTCTGCAGTCTACACCCGAGCACCACATAGTCAAGTCATGAAAAAATATGGCTGAAATCATACAATAGTGTTAAAAGTTTATGATCTTGTAAGGCCATTTGCTAGGTGTCTAGAACTTCTGATGAGCACCATGGGTTGGATATAGCTATTATATGGGGAATTATTTTGTCCTGGATTTAATTTGATCCAGAATGCTGTATGCTGGCAAAGTGTCAATTAAGTAGGAGGAATAAAGTCATTTTTAGACAGACAGAGATTGAGAATATTTGCCTGGTTAAAAAAAGGAAATTATTCCAGCAAGACAGGGAAAGAAAGCCCGATTGCACTCAGTGGGGCCTAACCCAGTGGGGGCATGAAGGAAGGTCTGGTTCCAAAGGGCCGTGTCAGGCCTGGACAACAGGTGGAGAATGGCAGAGCTTCAGAGGTTGTCTTGGGGTAGAAGTGAAGATTGCATCAATGTTATCATAGAGAGTCAGGAAAACTAAAGACACTTGAACAGTCCGTCATTCCTAGAAAAACTAAAAGGTAATATAAATCTCTGAAAAAAGCCTTATAGAGCAAAGCCATGGGTCATGGGAAAAGTTCACTGACTGGACTCTCCCTTGAACTTGACACTGACAATGTTTTTCTCCAATTGCCATGAGAATTAAGACATGTTTACCCATAAGAAATAAAAGTAATTATATACACCTTGTGACTGTGGTGAACAATATTTATAATACGAAAAGTGATGGATTTTTAGTATTTATACTCAATGAATAAATGAAGCATAGAAGACTTAACTAAACTATGAAATAGCATTTAAAAGTTCCAATCACATAAAGAAAAACAACAAGAGAAGTATAGATAACAAAAGAAAATAAATAAAGCCAGTAATCGAAGGACAGTGAGATTCTGAACTCAGTGGTTGATGGTAGTCAAAAACTGCTACTAAATGTTGATAAAAACCAAAATAGCAGTTTGTATATATTACTTAAAATTACACTAGCAGCTGATAGACATTGTGAATAGGTGAGTGCTACTATTTATTCATGATAGAAAGCGGAAGGTGGTAGGAAAAAGACTGCTATTATATATTCAGCTCATCACTGTGCAGTAAATAATCATGTTCATTGCTACAATATTGACTGGGGAATATTTTTAAATTAATGAGTACAGACATACAGTGCCTTCAATTATTAAACATTTTCTCTAAAGGGGATGAGCTCTCTGGGACATTGACTTAATGTTTTTGGTGCTTGAGGCCCAAACAGAGTGAAAGGTACAAATACTACAGGGTTCCAACTGCTCTGATTGTCTTTGTAAGCATGAAACCACTGGAGAAAAGTTCCATTAAAAGCCAGAGGGCTGATTTCCAAGTACACCACCGAGCATGAGTACGCTCACTCTGCCAGCCTGTTTGACTGCAGCAGCTTTAGTGGGTCCAAGTCAAGTGGCACCAGCTGGTGGAGTGGGGGTGAAGAAGTAATTTCCCCCAGAGGCATAGGGAGGCCTCTGAAGAATTATTCTGAAGAATAATGCAACCCTCCTTGCCAAACCATCACCTAAGCCTTGAGTGTAAAAAGACGTCTGTGGAGGATATGTCTTGTACAAGGCAAAGAGCAGATTCTGACACATGGAAGTGCTCTACGTGCTGATCTACATGACAGTGAAACTGAACAAGTGGAGTAGCTTTCTGACAGGTTTTTCCCCATGTGCAAGCTAACATGGCACTGGACAGCGCCTCCCTGCCTTCTCAGGAACCTGAAAGTTAAATCTCCCACTTTTCGCACCTGCCAGTGGGCCTCCAGTCAACTGTCAATACATCATTCCACTTGCCCCTTTAACTCTGTCCCTGTCAATTCCAAATAAAGCCCGCGGTTTTTGTCCTGAACCTTCCATAGGGTGCTTGCATGTCTTTGGCAGCCCTCCCATGCCCGCATAAAGACCTTTTTCCTTTTTTTCTGTTTTTCTCTCTTGTGCATCAGAAGACAAAACAGTTTCCTTCTGATCTGTTCTGATCCTAGAAACATGAGCCTTTCATTATGAAGAAAAGACACTGTACTGTTCAGGGAGAATCACCTTGCTGACACCCAGGCACTTGTTAAATCAGATGCTCTAAGATGCCCTTTACACTTTTGTCCAGGCATCTAAGTCTACTTTGCTGTTCCATGATATCTCCATGATTTCCACTTTTAAAGTGAAAGCTGGGTCATATCTATAATTCTCTTTTGTCTTAAAATGCAAAGAATGGGCTTCTGAAAATAGTGGAATTAAAAGAAAAGATTTAGTATGACCCAAGAGATGTACAAAAATTGCTCAGGTAATTGACATCTGATTTCTGACTTCCTAATAATGCATGCAGATAGCTGAATTAACTTCTGAAAAACCTGCTCTGACCACAATCTCCACTAAGGGATTCCCATACATGGCTTTAAATGACAGAAGTAATAGCTTGGTTTTACAGCATATGACCTGTCAGTTTCAATCAATTATACCAGTAGAAGGCATCAGATTAGCAAATCCACTGACTAGGCAGCAGTGGGTAGCCTGTAACATCAAGGCATAAAAGCTTGCCAAACATAAAACTTTCTCGGGAATTTGAACTAGAATTAAGGGAGATGGTCGGTTAGTTTGTTGAAGAAACAGAAGTGAGATAGCACATGGAGAGAAGGTAGAACACAGGAATTATTATATGGAAGAGTCCAGGTGCATGTAATAACCTTTATCACACAAATCACAAGAGTAATAGCTGACCATATTAATGTTTTTGGTTGGATCATTGAACACAACTGTTTGCAGTCTCTCTGTTTGAATGTTCACGTTGTATGCTTTGATACTGTGACTTGAGCAACTATCTCTAAGTTGATAATGTGTAACCTATTAACTGGTGATTTCTTACTGGGTTTTTTTTTTTTTTTTTTTTTTTGTAGTTCTGTATACTTGTACTCTTACACCGCTTTGTTTTGTTTTGTTTTTTCTCTTTTTCCTTTTAAATAAAATTTAAAAAATATCACAAGTATACAGGAAGCCATGGTTAGCCTAGGCAGGAAGCAGAGACAGAGAAGAAATAGGTCAGCGTTAGTTATAGGGTTCAGAGTAGGAATTAATGGGGTTTGGAAACTGTGAGATTGTTTGATCTTAGTTCCTGTATTCCCTTGAGGCTGGGACGAAGCTGACTTAATTACTTCAACTTTTCTCTGTGGACACTGAGGTGCAAAAAGTAGCAAAGCCATTTTTTTCTTTAGGTTCTGAATCATTTCTCCATCAAAAGAGATATAAATTTTACCCCAAATTCCATATGCATAAATAATATCTTCATTCTAGAGCTCTGCGTAATTTGACCCAAGTCCTCATTTCGTTGAGCTCTAGAAAAACTTAATCTCAGTCACTATGGAGTTCTCATCCCAAATGAGGTCAGGGCGGGGATGGCACCGGTAACTGGTTGTGTGTCCATGTGAGCAGCTAATCATGAGGCCTCCAGGGTCCCCTCAATGCCTGTCCTGCACATCTCCCATGTCACAGGGCATCAGAATCTTCACCACGACCAGAAACCCAGTATCAGAACCCTTATTTATGAGTGTAAACTGCAACCATACTCTTGGAAGTCTGGCCGTGATGGGACCATTGCCCTGGAAAAAAAGCAGTGACCAGGATTTGTCTTTTTCCCTTCCATGTTGAAATCTTTGAGTTTTCAGTTGGAAAGAGTCTGTTCCTATAAAATAGGAAGCTGAACAGAAAGTCCTGTACATATAGGAATTTATAACTATAACTTGAACACTTAGACACACATACACATGTATGTGTACACATATGTTTTTATGTGTATTGAATTTTTCAAGATGTCTTTTTCTTTTCAGAGTTGAACACTGAATTGTGTTGATTGAATGCACCCTGTGTATAAAGTAACACAGTAAGTATAAGTGAGCTGGTGGCTCTTCTGGAATTTCTCTTGGTTGAGTTCTAAATTAGGGAAGAGGCGTCCTATGGATTAGAGACAATTGCAAAATGAATTATTTGAAGCAAATCAATGAACTGTCAGCTTGGTCTCATTAACTTCAGGGAGACTCAGGTGAGATATTATTTCTAACATACCGAGGTTGCAAGAAAAGTACACACCTACAAATATTCTCCAGTGTCACTTGTGCCACTCAATTGCTGCCCATTTAATTCTACTGGGTGTCAACAGAAGATGCTCAGTAGCCCTGGGCTTGCAGATATATCTTCCTTTTGGCTCCTGAGTTTCTTTTAGTACCCTCCTGTTTACTCTCTAGAGAGAACAAGTTCTTCCAATTGTCTCTGTTGTCTGTGCCAGTAGCCTGGAAATTGTAGATCTGTCCTACCTAACTGGAAGGTGTTGGATCACTGGATCCAAGGTTTTCTGAAACGAGCCTTTATTGACCTGTGAGGAGTGGAGAAAGACAGCAGAAATATTTTCCCTTTGTCTAATGCTTTGAGCTTAGTGTACCTGGGACCTCTGTGCACAGCTGCCTTATCTGACCTCACACCATCCTGTACAGAGATCTCACACATGTTAAAAAGGCAGGGGGCTAAAAGACAGAGACACTGACTGACTTAACTCAACATCATAGAGCAGAACTGAATTTGGAAGGCAGCTCTTCTGTTTCAAATACCTGTGCTCTCTGTCTAATACTCCAAAACAACTACCCAGGAACATGGCAAGTGTTTATTGTGAACTGAGCACTGGTCTAGCGCTGTGCAAAAAACAAGACAAGTATTAGCCATATCTCTTGGCTTCAAATTGCATATCATTGAGTTATGTTTATGCCTCTCTGTATATAGCAGCTTGCTAGGGTAAGCAAAAGCACAATCTTTATCCTTAAGAACCTGCAGCCTAAAAAGAAGCCATTATCAGTGTTCAGCTCCCTTATAATTTGCAGAGACCTCTTCAGAAGCTGCTTATCTTTTCTCCCCAGCTCTAAATCAGTGGACCCAGGGGAGTTCCTAAAGTTTGAAACAGAATTTAAGAACATCTGTGAGGCGTTCGTCAGCATCCATGATACTTACCCCACCCCTTCCCTTTGTTCTCTGACTCTTATCAGGCAGGATGCTGTAGTTTATCCAGCCTCAGTTAGCCAGGGAGAGGAGGAAGATAGGTTTGGGGTTCATCTAGGCCAGATATGTTGGCCCTACAGAACATCTTCACTTCTTCCCCAACTGCCAGTAACTTTGTCTTAAATGTGGAGAAAAAGGAAAAGTTTGGGCTTGGAGAAGGTGTGAAAATGTAAAAATGAGTAAGCACTGTTGGTCAGTAGGTAGCACCCATCATTCCTTGCCCACCCCTTTGAATAGAACTGGACTCACCCCAGGTCTAAAACAAACAAGCGAAAAACAAAGAGCACACACACACACTCACACACACACACACACACACACACACACACACACGCACGCATGCACGCACACACAGAGTCTGTGGCAGGGCAAGCAAAAGGTAAAACCAAGGGATCAAAGAATGTTTGTGAACACCGAGGCTCTGCATATCATAGGACAGCTTAGACCACAGGACCAAAATTCCCCCACTTGGGGATTAAGGTACTCCTTGAGCTGCCCTGGGTCATGCTCCTATCCTAGAACATCAGGGAAGTCAGATCCTGGCCCAAACCAACCTTCTTGTGGTGAACATGGACAGCAGTGGCTGTGGGGAGGGCACAGCACAATCATGTCTAAGAGAAGGTGGTGACAAGACTTTGAAAGGAACAAAGCAGAAACAAAGAGCTCCATAGTGGACAGACTACCGGGTGGGCCTCTGTGCATCCCACTGGAAAATATCAGTGGAAGACAAGAGTGAGCATGCCTTGGGGGTGTGCACACATGGACTTTGTCACAGTGGGTGAACTCCTGAGCACAAAACTTACACTAGTAGATAAAATTGGGTAAGAAATCTTGTCCCTATTAGACTTTTCTTTCTAGTTCTATCTTTTCCTTCTGCAAAACTTCAGCTTGATTTGTAGCGCTTCTGATGTTCATAGAAGCAACAAGGTCTGTTACTTCTTGTTTTTTCTCATCTCTGGACAGGCTTGAACAGTGCCAGGTTACCCTCAGATATTTTAGGCAGGATCATCCACATTCTCTCATGATGGTTGTTCTCATAGAGCCATGTTCTCTGACTCAATTATTGAGTGAGCCAATGCAAGATACTTAATCTCTTTAGGGCATTATTTCTTTGCATGTAAAATAAGACCTACCTCACTAGGACTCTCAGGAAGGGGTGAAGGCATTTTCCTCTCTAATTGATCCAGTGCTACATCTCTGTTACTGATGGTCATTATTATTTCCACAAGCCACATCCATGCTCTCCAAATGCATCCTCCAGCCATCAGGCCTCCATATCTGCTCTGCCTCCTTTCCTGGCCCCAAGTCCTGAACCAGTGAGCTCTTTCCAGTATTTTACTCCAGTTGGAACCTCACTCAACCATCATTGGACATGCAAGATGACAGCTCCCAGCTTAAACAAAATTACCCTCTCTCTGACCCTTCTTTTCCCTACTGCTATAGCCCCATTTCCTTGCTTTTCTTTGCAATAAAATGACTTTCAAAGGTCTGTACTCCCTGTCTTCTCTTTCTCTTATTTCCTTTCAAGACTGTCTAAACAGGCTTTTATCTTCCCACTCCAGTCTTACTTAGATCACCAGGGACCACCCTGCTGCAAACCCAGTGTTAGTGCCAGCCTCCTCTCCCTCAACCTCCTAACAGTGCTTCACTGTATTGACATCCTACTTACAACCTTTTCTTCCTTGGCATTTGGGACCCAGCTCTGGTTTTCCTCAAACCTCCTTGCTTAGCTCCACCTCTCCCAGATCTCTAAATATTGCCTACCTCAGAGTGCATACTTCTTTTCCAATTACATTCACTCCCAAGAAAATTCCTTCCAGCCTTATATTATAAATTAGCACCTAATACTGTCAGTTCCTATAAACTCCAACTTGCACACTCAGCTACCTACTCAACACCTCCAAGTCTCACGTCTCTTATGCTCTACATCCAATTCATTAGAAAATCATGTTGAATCTTCAAAATGTATTTAACACTCAGTTTTTTGCCTCTCTTCACTGATAGGTGCCAGTCACAAAGATCTATCTCCCTCTTTGACTCCCACGGTAGATTACTCACTGTTTTTGCATGGGCATCTATATTTGCTGCCATGTACTAAAGTACCACATGAGAGCAAGAGTTAGCTCTTTAAAATATATTTTCCTGCTCAAACTTTCCCACTAGCTTCCAGAAAAATTCTAAAGGTCTACAAAGTGACACATGATTTGACCCTTAATTGTATCTTTTACCTCATCTCCTAACATTCTCTATCACTCTGTTCCATCCTTTAAACTTTGTTCCATCATTGGCTGACTGGCTATTCTTCAAGCATTCCCAATGTGCTTGCAGCCCAAGAGCTCTACCCTCACAGTTTTTGGTGCTAGACCCTTCTCCCAGAGAGCCAATGACCTCTTGCAATGATTTTCTGTTTGTGCAGGAATTAACAATTTACCACAAAGTTAGTAGTGTAAGATAGAACTCATTTATTATCTCACAGTTTTTTGACAGATGTCAACTTCACTTGGCTGGACCATTCCACTGTAGATACACACCTGAAAGAATGCATATATGTGAGCACCAAGAAGTATTTAATAGAAGGCTCATGATAATCTCATATTGGAAATTACCTTAACAAATATCCATAAACAGTAGAGTGGATAAATGCTATATATATATTCATGCGATAGAATTCTGGGCAGTAAAGAAAATTAACAAATTATAGGCACACATAACATCAAAGATACATCTAAACAGCATGATGCTGAAGGAGAAGCCAAATATAATTTACAGTGTGTGATTCTGGGGCTGGGCATGTAACTTGGTGGTAGAATGTTTTCTAGCATGTGCAAGCCTCTGGGTTTGCTCTCTAGCACTGAAAAAATAGTGATTTCATGTACTTAAGTTAGTTCTGAGCAAGTTTTAACTGTGATATTTTGTGATAATTTTTATATGATAAAATGATTTTAAAAATGCATACAAGTAGAGATAACAGCTTTCTTTCTGGGGGAGGCAGGGCAGTTAGGAATTGGGGGTGTTTCTTCATGGGAAATCACTGAGTGGCATATTTTTATTTCTATGTTTTTTGATATATACTGTACAACTGATAAAAAAAGAAAAAATACTCAATATGGAAATAGAAGTATATTGGAAATCATTCCTTTGAAATGTGAGGCTGGTCTGGGTTTTATTCTGAGGGACAGGAAACCAAATCCCAATTTTTTTGAGCAGGACAGTGACATGAGCAGAAATCCAAATAAAGGAGAATTTGTCCTATAATACCATTGTTTATTATTTTGAATACTTTTTTAAAAACCAGCTTTACTAGATAAGTGGATAAAATAAGATATATTTTTAATTTTCAATACTTTGTTTAAAAAAGAAATAGATCATAAGAATGTCCCATGATCTGAGCTGGGCTTTATAAAAATTTTTATTGACTTTATAGTATTCATTTGAGTGGATTTACCTTAATTTACTTAACCACTCTCTTATTATTGCTTTAAGCATGTCTGACATTTCATTGTTATAGGCAGTACCTAATAAATGTCATTTTCCTACTGAAGAGTGACTCAGAATATGTTCTCAGAGATATTATTTTAAGGTCAAAGATTATGAATAGTTAAATGAATATTGATACAGGCAAATTACTTTTCCAGAAGAACTTTACTGGTTCATATTGCCAACCTATATTTAGGAACAGGTCCATTCATGTAGTTGTTCACCAAATATTTTATGTGCACCTGTTATACACCAGTACTGTAGTGCTCTCAGAATTTAATGCCAGGTAAGAAAAACACAAGGAAAATGGTTTACAATTGTGGGGCTTGGAAAACTTCCCCAGAAAACCAGGCCCACATA